TAATTTGTTCCTACAATATCCGAACTGTAATTAACGTATGACCTTGTTTACTAAATATGTTACTAATTTATTTAATTTTCTACATTTGGTCAATATTATTTATAGAATGCGATTAATTCATTGAATGGAAAGACAATATTTAATTATATGAAGATTGATGATGGACAACTATATAAATATTTAACGAGAAAAGATAATAAATTCGTGATCATATACGATAGGAATATTTTACAATATAACCTTATAGTTAATAATATAACCAATTATTATCTATCTAATATTAATGATGATAAAAAATTGCAAATATTTTTGGCATCCATTGCATTACCGAAACATTCTGTTTATTTGAATGAACTTAATGTTATGTAAGAATTTATCTAACTATTTTACCTTGGTAATAATTTTGTTAATTTATTTTTAAATTACAGTCTCTCACATATACGGGAAGCAAATCTATACAATCATTTTACTAAACATTTTTTTGAGACATTAATTTTAAAATTTAATTATCACAAAGATGCATTTAATTCAAATCTATATAAACAATTAAATTATTATCATTTGGATTTTATATTTAATCAATGTAGTTATTGTGCTTTGATTACTGTATTAGTATTTATGATTGAATTATTTATCTACAAACTAAAATAACCCGGCATTTGAATTAAGGTAAACACATCTATCGTCGAATGTATAAATATAACAAACTAGTATAAGCTCAATAAAATAAACTAAAAAATTTTGATAAATTAGTTTTATTGTTTATGGGACTCGCAAAGAATTCTGCTTGCTATTCATATTGGTAAAACAATCCAACATAATCATTTGGCTATGAACTATTTTTTAATAAATTAATAATATATTATAATTATGACAAATATAATATTTATTCACATCAATATAGTTATTTAGATTTAGTTTATTTATTTGATTTTTTGATGTTTATATTGTGTTATGATTAATGTATCTATAATTTATGATTATAGTTTTGTTTGGATTATTATTTTATAAATTTCCATAAATATCATCTAAATAAATGTCATGATATATAGATAATATATCAACCTAATTGTTTTGATAAGTTTTTAACAAGTTTTTAACATTTTATTAAAATCAATTAATAACTATTACATTTGTATATATTTATTGCTTCACAAATAAATTACATTCAACCATAGAAAATTAAAGTTTATGAATAAATAAAATAATTAAAAATTATTTTATCAATAAATTGAAATAAAAATAATAATATAACAATTTAATTTACAATAATTAACAATGCACAATATTTCAGCTAAAATAATACGTTTGGCCACAAACATAGTATGTATTTTTATTATATACAGTACATGTTGATGTATAATAATTATATTACACATTCAATGTCTCATAGCTGCCACCATATATTCTGCTAAAATATAATGATGCTAACAATATTTATCAAATTAATGGCGGTATTTATGCTGCCTTATTGGATACAATTGCAAAACATTTGAACACAAGTTATAATATTATTTATTGTCATCAGATTTGGGGATTACAACGTAATAATAATACATATTCTGGTATTATGGGAAAATTACTTAATAAGGTAAAATATCATTTTAGTACTGATGGTAAATCTATATGTATGTACCCTATTATCCCATACATAACGCGAGCGTTATCTAGTAATTTAGAAAAGAGTGACGTTATTAATATTTAGTTAAAGCACTAATTAATTGGTTAACTAACTTTATTAACAAATAAATCGTTGATTTTATTAATAGGAGGCAGATATAGCATTGCATTTAACAATGAATACTATGAGATATAATATTATCGATTTTACATATCCATATGCTTTGAATGATCTCTTATTCACGTCTCCATTGCCGACGACAACCCATTTCCACAATTTGTTGCAACCCTTTGACAGTTATATTTGGCTCTCAATCCTAACCACAATCACACTATTCATTGCCGTTATATTCACTATCAATACTATCTATAAATCCAATACTAAATACACGTTATGTTGGAATGTATTCACAATTTATTTACGGCAAAACATATCGAAAAATATCAAAATATATCCAAATAACATAATATTTTTTATTTGGATGCTCATGATAAATATATTATGCATTGCATATTCGGGTACAATATATTCGTTAATCACAGTTCCTGTGGAGCATAGGATTGAAAGCATCGATCAATTGATTGAAAGTCAATATACAGATGGACTTAAAATAGTTGTTAGAGATGTGGGAATTCTGCCAATTATTTTGGTAAATAAAGAATTTATAAAGAAAATATGTATACTTTGGTTAATTAACTTTATCCAAATTTTATTTTAAACTTGCAAAAACAATAACTATTAAATACTATAATTAAAATTAATTTAATTTACTATTTTATAAAATTTACAATAGGACAAGATTAATTCACTAAATGGCAATATTATCTTTAACTACGTTAAAAGCAACGAAGCCAATTTATTTAAACATATTATGGGAAGACATAATAATTATGTAGTAATAAGTGATAGAAATTTATTACAATATAATCTAATAATTAATAACATAACCAACTATTATATCACGACTAAAAATCACGATAAAAAATTGTTTACTGTTTTAACATCTATTGGATTACCAAAGAATTCAAAATATCTTAAATCATTAAATACTATGTAAGCTTTATTTGATTTATTTTATCTAGATATATATTAATTGAATATTCTACATTGTAGACTTTCCCATATACGTGAAGCAGATCTCTACAATTATTGGATTGAAAACTTTTATATAACATTAAATATAAACCAATTTAATTGTATTGTAAATAATGTTTATTTAAATCGATATAATGATATAGATTACGATATTTTAAGCTTTTTATTTCGTCACTGTATTTATGCTTTCATATTTTCTATGATTATATTTTTGATTGAATTTTACAAATAATAATAGTTTGTGATAATTAAATGTATGTTGTTTTTAAAGGTTAGATTAATTAATTTTAATTATAATGCTGACAAATGTACAGAAATTGTATTGTATTGCATAATAAATTATATGTTTCATATATAACAACCTCAAAAAATAATACAATTTGTTTTCAAATAATAAATATTTATAACAATTAATATTTAATTACTATGTCGTTTTCACAATATAATATTTTTTTTATATAATTCAATGAAAATAATTAGTTTTACTAAAATAGATTAAATAAAATATATTAGTAATTCTATGAAAACATTAATACACTTGATCTAATATTTATGTAATAACCTAAATTTAACTGTAATCATATAACGTAATCTTTATATATTACTGAATTAATTAGTATGCAATTGAATGCAATTAATTTTTATATATGCATATTTTAAATAATTATAATATTTGAGTAAAATAAACATGATAAACATGCGTGCAACAACAATAAGACTAGCAACAACCAATGTGAGTCAAATAATAAATTATTTATAAAATGATTTAAAATACATTTACTATTTAGCTACCACCATTTATGATGCTTAAATATAATCATGATAAAAATGCATATGATTTTAATGGTGGTATTGATGTTATGCTTTTGGATGCAATCGGCAAACACTGGAACATAAGTTATGATATTATTTACTGTAATGAAAATGCAAATCGCAAACCAATAAACAATACATGGTTTGGTATTATGGGAAAGCTTACTACAGGGGTATAGAACATAACATGGTTACTTACTATGGTTAATCAAATAATTGTAATTAAATTAATTTATATATTTTAACATAAAGGACGCGGATATATCCAATAGACTTATGATGAGTACAGACAGAAACTCTGCCATTGATTTTATATATCCCTACTATTTAAATGACATCGCATTCACGTCTCCATTGCGGACGACAACCCATTTCCACAATTTGTTGCAACCCTTCGACAGTTATATTTGGCTCTCAATCCTAACCACAATCACACTATTAATGGCTGTATTATTCACTGCTAATACTATTTATAAATCCAACATTAAATGCACGTTATGTTGGAATATATTTGTACTGTATTTACAACAATCTGCTTCTAAATTAATCTATAAATATCAATATAATGTTATAATACTCACCTGGATGTTAATGTCATTTGTATTGCAAATATCATATTCTGGAGTAATCTATTCATTAATGACAATTCCTGTGGAGCATAGGATTGAAAGCATCGATCAATTGATTGAAAGTCAATATACAGATAAACTCAAAATTATTGTTAAACGAACTGGATTTTTGCCACCGATATTAGTAATTATAAATTTTTAATAGCAGATATAATATAATTATATTTTGTTTATACTATTAGTATACTAATTTAATTAATTAATTACATTTTTTATATATGTATTATAGGATGCTATTAATTCATTAAATGAAAAGACAGTTTTTAATTATATGAAAATTGATGATGGACAAATATATAAGTATTTATTGAGAATAGATAATAAATACGTGATAATGTACGATAGAAATATATTACAATATAACCTTATAGTTAATAACATAACCAATTATTATCTCTCCAATATTAACAATGATAATAAATTACAAATACTTTTGGCATCCATTGGATTACCAAAAAATTCTGGTTATTTGAACGCATTTAATACTATGTAAGAACTAGTTTACCTTTATAATTATCTAGTTAATTTATTTTACAATTACAGTCTCTCACATATACGCGAAGCAAATTTATATAATCATTGGACTGAAAAATTTTTCACAAACTTAATTGCAAACATTAATTATTACAAAGATACATTGGATCACAATTTATTTAAAAATCTTAATTACCGTAATTTAGTTTTTATATTTAATCTATCTATTTATTGTGCATTTAATGCTGTAATTGTATTATCAATGGAATTATTATTGTACAAACTACATTCAATATGTTATCAAATAAAATAAAGCCACATTAAATATATTTTTATATACATTTAATTAATTTTAAAACATTTATAATTCAAAAATATTGTTTCCAAATGCCATCACATGTTCTCTCGTATGGATTCTCGAGAATAAGTGTCATATCGTTTGGACTCAAGTCTTTCACACGAATCACAGATTTATCCCAAACTTGTGGCCAATCCTCGTGTGGTTTGCTATCAATTAATTAAATAATTATTAATTACTTTTATATAATTAATATAGAAATTGCTTTAATTACAAACCATTACCCAGTCTTAGCGAAATTGGTTATCAATTTAATGACATCTGTGGCGAAACTTAATTCACTTTGAGTAACAAATCTTGGATACCTCAGAGGGAAACCATATATTAAAATCAAATCGGCACCATGGCAAATTTGATCGCCACACTGTTGTATGTACTTAAAAAATTTAACCACATAATTTGAACGATACAGGTATACACTTTTGGCACCATTTAATGCAATTTGTTTGGCAAACAAATACGTGGGACACGTCATCACCAAATCGCCAAACAACGCCTCAAACGCCGACTTGAGTTGCTTTGAGTCGCTTTTGTGAACACCTCTGAGATAATATTCGGACACTTTGTCCACATCTATGTTATGAAATTCATTGTTCACTACGTTTACAAACGCCCGGAACTGGCGCTCAGTTATCGCGTATTTCAGCTCCGGTATTACCCATCGGCTCAGTACTGATCCCTCATTTTTGGCCGTTCCGGCTAGTATTTCCACATCTAAATTAGAGCATGGTAAATTTGATTATCATTCATCACTTGGTTAAAAATTATTATTTTATTTAAATATTACTAAATAATTTTTAGATTAATTATTTTAATCGCGTTTACCAGAATTATATTGACCAGTTTTAAATGCTTTTTGCGGTATTAATGGTAGAAATTTGGTGCCAAAAACTGGATGAGTGACCACCATGGTAGAATTGGACCGCTCGATGAATACGTTCGGGTCCTTTATTGTCCGCAAACAGTCTAACCATTTATTGTCCCTTTCATTGCAATTCAACGACCATTTGTTGTCACTTTGGGTGCAATTCAATCGTTTGGCCAATTGTTTGGCTTTTTGAAGCGCTTCAGTGGTGTTGAGCACCGGTCGGTCTCTGTTGAACATCAGGGCTCCGCCGGACATAACACCCCTTTTAAACATGCCTTTGGATAGCGGGGAGAGTATGTGCGCCGACACCGACCAACTGCCGGCGCTAAACCCAAATATAGTAATCTTATCTTTATCTCCACCAAATTGGTGTATGTTTTGTCTAACCTATGGTCAAATTATTATTAATTAATGTGATTATGTAATATCAGTCACGTGTAAAACATAGGAATTTGATTATGGTAAAAGCAAATGTCTAGTTAAAAATAAAATATAAATTTTATACCCATTTAAGTCCTAACAACTGGTCATAAAAGCCAACATTTCCGGGCGCCGTGTCGTCCGAGCCGTAGAGAAAGCCCAACGGCCCGACCCTATAGTTGGCCGACACCACCACCACATCATTGGTGGCCAACACATCTCCGTTGTAAAAGTCTTGAAATATTGAACCAATACTTAACCCTCCGCTGTATAGCGAATACATCACCGCTTTTAACGCCCCCTTCGGTTGCTTGGCGTTACTATTGTTCACATTTGGTGTCCATATGTTTAATACTAAACAGTCTTCGCTTTGCGGTACAAATGTTTTAATACCGCCAAAACCTATCGCCGATTGAATGCAATAATTGCCTGGTTTTGTGCCGTCTATTATAACCTTGATTAGTTAATTATTGATTTTATATTTAATGTAATTAATAAAGCATGTTGGATTAATGTTATAAGTACATGTTTAGGTGTTTTGAGGGGTAGGGGCGGCGAAAATCTAAGCTTTCCGATTGGCGGCTCAGCGTATGGTATATTCAAAAACTCGTTAATCTTGATATCCAATGCTGTGATTGTGTGTCCCATCACTGGACCCGAACTCGTGTTCACTAATATAGCTTTTCCAATACCAACACAAAGTAATATTATTACACATGCTGTTATTGTATGAGCCATTGGTTTACCATATGTTTTATGCAATAATGTTGTTTTAAAGCACATTTGATAATTTGGTTTTAAAACTTCACGTTAAATACATTTGCATTGCAAACACATCACAAGATTACAGATATGATTAACAAAATATACATTGAAAATAACAATTTAATTATAATTGGTTTAACGGAGTGTTTACATGATAAAAACTTAATAT